TTGAGGTGATAAAGCATAGGAAAGAAAAATCTGTGAGTCAGTGGAATGTAGTCTATTCAGGGTGTGTCAGGGTTGTCATTCAGGGTATGAGGGTGAGTCACAGAACCTTTTGAAAGTTGGAATGGGCGCGTGGGCCTGCTTGGCTGCTCCCTCACATAGGGCCTACGCTATCTTGATGAAGTGGCGCTGTCGAGAAGACCGGCCCGCTACTGACAGCTACCACCCCCCCCACAGTCCACCCATAGCACGTTCCCATTCTCAAATCCAGACCTCAAGGTGGAGTGCTTGGATCGGGCAAACCACCATAATTTCCTGTAGATAAGCCCACGCCGATCCCGAAAGAACATCACACTTCCGCTGGTGCAGTGCACTTGCGTACATCTAGAGACAACCGTAACTTGCCCATAGGGGTAATTCGATATGCTGATTACGAAAACGACATTCATTTGGGGACGCCATCTGGCGCCAGTTGGCGCCACCTTGTCACGACCCTTGTTTTCACCAAAATCGGTGTAAACTTCTGTATAGGGGTTATTTGGTGCCCTGATTACGAATATGACATTCGTTTTTGGCACGTTGTTCAACGCATATTTCTCGGTTGGAGAGCGCAGACGAGCAGAAAATAGGCGCCAAATAGCGCCAGCGCCGAGAATGAATGTCATTCGTAATCAGGACACCAAATAACCCCTATACGGAAGTTTACACCAAATTTGGTGAAAACAGGTGTCGTGACAAGGTGACGCCAACTGGCGCCAGATGGCGCCACCGCTAAAAATGAAAGTCATTTTCGTGATCAGGGCATCGAATTACCTCTATAGGCAATTTACGGTAGTTTCTAAGGTGTACAAAATTACACTGCACGAGCGGAGGTGTTTTTACGTGATATCGGCGCGGGCTTATCTACCGGAAGTTGGGGTATGCGCTGGTGGGCGAATGCAGGTGACCGTTCTTGAAGAGAATCTTATCCAACACACCCCATTGGTGGTCGCCCCTGCTGGCGATATGATCGGAGGTATAGGGTTGGTTCTTTGTCTTTTTTGATCGTGAGATGAAAGGCTTCGATATTATTCGAGAGATGTGCAAAAGTTGGCCAGTGGGATCCAAAATTTACTCTGTCTGCAGCACTGTACAATAAACTTAGAAAACTTCAATGGATCTGACGGACATGTAGCGAAGAAGTCAAAATTTCCAGAATTTATTTTTTTATGTCTATGACTTCATACTTGAGCAAGGTCTTTTCCTTATGACAGAATAAAATCAGGATATGAAATTATTTGTAGTAAGGTATTTGATATTTGCAGGAGCGAATGTGTTCGGCATGATGCTATCCATACTCGGTGTGTTCTGTTATAATCGGGTGAGTAATAGGCATATAGTAGTTTTCGAAGTCTCTCATGTTAAACGGTTGCCTGCTGTATCGCGAAGATCTTTTTTTCCAAAGATTTTTGCTCCGAAGGCTTCTCATCTGAGTAAATGATTTTAAGCAGTCAAAGTGAAATGTTGGTATAGCTATTTGCTAAACGAAAATATGCTGTGAATGTGATTAGAAATAGCATGAACTTCTTTCCAGGTGAAACAAGAAGACAAGGTTTATCGCATTCGTTACCTCTGACACGATCTCATACAGTGCTGTCCGAATCGACTCTTGTAGAAATGGATACCAGTCAAAATGGTGACTTGATGTACTGGTAAGTTACTCTGTGGATCATCTTCATATGTCATCGAGTCGCGTTGCTTAATGCTAATATAAAGCCCCGAGTGCCGTCGCTTGCAGTGTTGCCTTCGAGAATTCATGAATCAGCTGGATGCAAATCCGCCAAGTAGATTCAATTTTTGGCCTCCATATAGTAAAATCGCACTGCTGAAGCTTTCAGCCTCGCGTCATGCAGTGCTGAAAGCTATGGTACCGGGTAACAGGGCGTTGTCAATCGAGCTATATCCAAACAGGACCACCGGTCCGTTCGCAACATTCGAAACGATGGGGTCGTTCGGAGTTGAGCAGGTCATGCACAGTGGAAACGGAGGTTAACGATGGTCTTCAAGGGTTTGTGTTCGAACGGGTTTTTTTTGACAATTTGGTGAAATCGTAGAAGTAGCTGACTGTAAATCCGTCAAGTAGAGGCTGCAGCTTCCATTTAAAAATCTCATTAACGAATCAGTCAAATAGGTGGTGTCGTTTCTCTCTGCAGACACGCCTTATATATTTCCATTCATCGAGCAACACTCCAGTGGAAGTTCTACGGAGACGTAGTGAAATTAGGCAAAATTGGTGAATTTGCCGCGCTTCATGATACCAATAACCGCCCCCCAGTGGGCGGAATTGGGCTGTGCTGTATCGACTGCTGTCAGAATGCTAAAATATAGAAACAGGGTGGTGGTTGGAGAGGGGATCGTGTTGGATAAGCCTTTCAGTACTGATTGGCGGAAGGGGGTCGCAAATTTTTTGAAAGTCCGCGGTGACGATTGCATTCTCAAGGCTTTTGACGATTTCTCCCAAATCGTCAAGAATTTTAGTCGCGCTTTTGAACGGTGCTTTACTTTAAATAACGCCACATGGAAATTAATTCTTCTCTCGAATAGATGAAAACTTGTGCCTGTGGAACCGGTGAAACTTGAACTGCTCGTGTGCGGCAACCTGAAGAGTTTTTCGGGACCAAGCTGTGCCACTTTTTGCTATGCATAGGTGCCCCATCAGCCCATCGAGTCTTGGGCCATGTAAATCTGCCACTGGTTTTTTGTTGTTACTGTAACTGATCTCTATTCAGTAGGGCATAGTGAAGAGAAGTTTATCTTAATATCTATAATTTTTAGGGCCTCAAATAATCGCCCAGGCTACAATGGTAGCCGTTTGGGTGATTTCGAGTACACCGACGCTTATCAGGCTCGCTATGACAAAATGGATGATATTAGCAAAGAGCAGCATAGCCGACGGCATGTTCGTTTTGCCTAGGATCTCCATGACGTTGCAGTTCTCACCTGCCGCTGACGGCAGACGGTTGTTGACTCATTAAACTGCATTATTTTCTCCAATTTCCGTAGGTATTTATTGAGATTAATTGAATTCTATTGATAGAGCATGTAGTACTTATTATAGTAATAATTTATACGACGATATTTAACAATATAGCACAGATTTTTTTAACTGTTCTTCGCTGTACCAGCGCAAGTAGAGATCAATGCTGAGTCGATAAGTTTAGTGGTTTATGAACCTACTTTCTTATCAATTTAATAATTATGAACTGCTGTGATATGGACTTCTGATCTTCGTAACTTCTTATTTAAATTATATTTACATCGATGATTACCTATGCACTCGAGATACTGTAAGAATACAGGCGGGTTTTTTGTATTGTTTACTACTTCTTTCATCCCATTTCTGTAACTCAACCACAACCTTAAATATGTTTAACATCGTAGTTGCCTCACAAGTGTTTTACCAGTCGAGTTTAGCATTATTTTCCTTGCAAGAATAGTTCTTGACCGGAACATATGCGGAACTTGGAAATGGGAATGATGCTACATGATCGGGCAGTTTTTGAAAAACTGAATGGATTTCCAGATGCGAAGGGTTTGTCGGAAATCGGAACTCGGTGGACGCAGCAATCGCTAGATTAAAAAATAGATTTTGAATCAAATTGGTTCTGTTATTCAATCGGGCCAACTATTATTCTAATAGTTGTATTGTTTTCATTCAAATGCTTTATAAGATTTCAATTTTGATTTTTCTCTTTTTGCTTTTTTCCCTATTTTTTGGCTTCTGTTTCTGAATTGCTGCACAAGCGCTCAAATTGGTAGCTTTTAACGATTCAAATTTAATCGGCGTCTGCTATTTTTGATCTTTGATGACTCAATTTCTGCGCCTTTTCGGTTTCCGGGACGATCTTGGTGTTACGATTTCC